TGCGGAGATTATGGGCCATCGGCGGCGTAAGAGCGTTCTACACGGGTCTGACGGTAAGCCTCGTCTCGCCTGATTCCATGTTTGTCGAGCTCACGGTTCATGTGCAGATCGGCCTAGTGGGCGTATTCCCCTACAGTGCCATCGACATGTCCACGTTCGAGGCACTCAAACTCGCGCACATCCGCTCGACCGGGCAGCCAGAGCCCAGCGTGCTCGCATTGCTCGCGTATGGGAGTATATCGGGCAGCGTGGGCGCGACATCGGTCTACCCGCTCAATCTCGTCCGCACGCGGCTACAAGCATCTGGCTCGCCGGGACACCCGCAACTGTATACGGGCATATGGGACGTCGTCAAAAGGACGTACGCGACGGACGGCTGGAAGGGCTTTTACAGAGGCCTCGTGCCCACATTGGCCAAGGTCGTCCCGGCTGTGTCGATCAGCTACGTGGTATATGAACACTCTAAGCGAAGGTGCGCATGCGTGCAGGCCCGCTCGCGTCAGCAGGTGCTGACTTCTGCAAATCTCCGCAGACTTGGGGTATGAGCTTTGCCGAGCGCGCGTTCCATGGCCTTCAGCGATATTAATTGCCACACATCGCGCGTCTTAGGCCTGACGTTGCAACATCCTCCATGCGTGCACACTTGTTCCCTTCATTTCCGAACGCTTCCCATACATTCCGGTTGTGTATTATGTATCGTCGCGCTTTCGTTACTGAAGTCAAATATATAGAGCCTATCTCTGGACTGCACACATGCTGCGCACGGATTGCGCACGACGACGACGGCATGTCGTAATCCGCGATTATCCATCAGCGGGTGTGCAAGCGTCGGACGTCCGGGGTGCAGATCTTCGTACGCGTCCCGTGAAAACATTTGGGGTTGCTCCGTGAGCATCCCGTGCTGATGCGAAGGCGTTGTGAATTCCGTTATCTGATCCCTACGGTGCGCCTCACAGCCATAGCCAGGCACCTCACGGGCGCGAAGATAGCGACTCGATCGCGTGTTGAGTTCAATGTGTCCACCGACTACTCAGGGAGACTCTCAAACATCTCACCACAAATGTCCTCCCGGCAGCGTGTTCGGGAGGAGACTGAGTCCCGACCGGGACAATCTCAAGTGGGCGCTGGCAGGGCCGCAGGTCAGACGCACGTGTGGGGATTGTTGCGTAGTAGCCACTACGGGTGCCTCATTGGAGCTCAGACCTGGTTCGATCGCCTCATGCGGCATTCGAAGGTGTTTCATCCATGAACTGCATCCTGGAAAATAGGGGCTCTCGGATCCGGACGTCCGCGTTGCCCTGAGCGCGGCGTGGGAGCACAAGGCGGCTGCGATTCCCATGACCTGAAGCAAATTTCCACAAGGATGCGAGCGCCATCCGATGTCAGTGCTCTCTACGCACGAGGTGAACGGAAATATCGTCCTCATCGATGCCGAATCAGCTCTGAGACTGTCCGACAGTGTTGTTCTCCTCCAAGTCGTCGGTTTCCGATGGAATTACATGAACCTAATCAAGTGCAAGTACGCGTTGTGTCTGAGGTTGACTATCAAGAAAGTCGAAGATTATACTTGAGCGAAGATACCCTAGACCAGCTGGTCAGCAGGGTGCGACGTCTTCGGATGGGTCGTCTCCGTGTTGCCGGCTTCGCGAACGTTAGGGTCCACGTCCGGCCCGGGGGCGCTGAGCTCCTTCTCCACGGGGGCCGGAATGGCTACCGCAGGACTAAGCCAGAAGACAGGGTAGCGTCTCTGTCAGGCAGTGAGCGGACGTGTCCTTAGGGCGGGAGTCGATACGATACCTGTATGTTGTTGACGAAGAGTGCGACGCACAGAACGAGGACGCTGCTCAGAATCACGACTGGGATGTAGTACCATCCGATGCCTATGACACCCTCTTCGGTGCAGGCGAGAAGAGCAGTCGCGCCCGCCGGGGGATGTGTGGTTGCTGTCGCTGCCATGGCCACCAGCGCAAGCGCGCATGCCAGCGATGCTGCGACCCAGCGGATGTCGTCCAGGTGTGAGGAAAGCGCGAATAGCTTGTAGATGCACACTCCAATAACCGCAGAGATTGTATGGCCTCCTACCAGAGAACGTGGCTGGGAGAAAGGCGCCTCAATCGCCCCATAACAGAGAACAGCGGAGGCAGCCTGGGCGCAGCTTTAGCCTCGCAGGGGGATGATACACGCGCATGAGACGAGAACGCGTACAAAAGATCCAACGATTGGAGGGACGTTTCTCGCTTTGAACGTGTCGGCGTGGGTGAAGACCGCCTGCAAGATAGCCATCGCGCCGAAGGCCCCTGTATACGCGCGCGGTCAGCCACAGACAAGAGGTAGACGGAGAGCAATCGCACCTACGAATGACCATAGCCAGATCACACACTCCGGTAAGGTAAGTATACTGCGAGTGCAGCGACTGAGACATACAACGGGGAGCTTAGTTGGAGTCCTACTGCGATAACCAACCCAGCGACTGATCCACCCTGGTATGCGCGAGAGACTGAGAGAGGGACGGGCGGTCATGCCTTGGACGACAGACATTATCGCGTGTCGTTATCTCGTGAACCGGTCGTGGACTTTGCGCCGGGGTGCGACACGGTGAAAACGAAAGCACAAGTCTAAATACCCAGGGCCGGATGCTCCCTATTTGGATCTTCCGTCGAGTCGCCAACGGAAGGCGCCTTCGGACGTCCGTCGCCGGCCTCGTCATCCGTTCCATCATCGCCCGCATCTCAGTACATATGGAGTATATTCCGCGCTATCGACAGCCATTCACGTGGGAGCAGCTGCTTGCGATGGAGGTACCGCAAATAACCCAAGGTGCGCTTGCTGGCCTGTACCGCGAAACCTGCAGTACGCATTCTGAGCGTCGATGGTAGAGATCGCACGCCTGCAGCATTCGCTTGAGCTTTTGAACAAGACGCAAAAAGAACTCAAGCAGCACCTGGAGCAATCGCCGGACCCCGATCTCGAAGACGCGGTGAAAGAGAACGAGGACACTATGTGCGTGTTCGCAGCGAGCGTCTGGGCATACACATGATTCCAATGACTCCACTGCCTGCAGCGGTTCGCAATCCGAGAGAATTCTAATGATGCGACTTGCATTGGAAGCAAAGGGCTTCTCGAAGGCATCAAATCCGCACTACGATGTTAGCACTGAGCCACAGCCGCAACAACCAGCTCATAGGATAGACCCGCCATTTGCATTGCCTGCTCACTCAGAAGAGGAGAATGAAGACGGTGTGTACTTGTAGAGTGTTATAGACGGCGTTAGACTCGTCGTTAGCAGATCCAACCCAGAAGCTGCACAGTCAATCGGTGCGATTCAGAAACGTCGCCCTCCCCGCCTTATGGGCTGTCGAACGCCGCCGCCTCGTCCCGCGGGCTTAGCAACTGGAGAGCTGTCGCTGTCAGAAACCGCAGCTTTCTTGACCTTCTTCGCAGCGCGAGGAGACGAGTCGCTCTCGGTGTCTGATGAAGGCGGCGCCTTATTTGCTTTGTGCGCAGGCGGCGGCGGTGACCCAACTGCCGGCGAGTTGTTCAGATTTGCAGCCTTGGATGTTGAAGCGCCAGGCTTTGGCTTTGGCGGGGCCACGTCCGATTCGTCTTCAGTTTCCGAACTCGCCGGCGCTGCTACCTCCGTAGCCTTTGCAGGGGTGTTTGGCAAGGACGGCGCTGGGGCTAGCCGCAAAGGCTGAAGGAGCATTCAGCATTCATCATGTACGAACTTGATTCACGCACGGGTGTCGATATCCTCTGGATCTTCGGGAGTGACGGGACATGTGCAATAGCGTCAGGCTCAGGGACTTCCGGTCCTGTCTCTTCGAGCTCTGACTTGATCGACGCTGTGGTGTGTCAGCGTGTGCTTCTCAGAGACAGGTAAAGCTTTCGTACGCAAGTCCGTAAGCGAACTGTAAAGGCCGGTGATGCGATTGAGCATGGTCGCGAACTTTGGGACGGCAAGGACCTTCTTCACTTGCGCGTCGACGCGCCGTCGATATAGACGTCCGTTCTTGTCCACGACCTGGTGAAAGATGTGGATCCGTCAGGTCCCCTCCGGTAGATGCAAGCTCGTGCAGACCTTCTCGAGTTCACCCGTCTGCATGTTCTGCAACGGTTCGGGAGTCGTGAACGCAAGGTCGCTGAAGGTGATCAAGGGCAATATCAAGTGCTTTGAGAGCACTTCAGCAGAAGTACGATAGCCAAGTGCGTTTGCATGCCATCGCCACGTATAGTCCTCGTAACACAGTTCGCACGCCAGGTCCTACGGACGCTCTGGTCAGCCGCCGACGTCGTCGTAGCGCAGTTGCAGGTTACGCACTGCATCCCTAGACTGGACAATAGTGAACGAGGAGAGCGCAATCCCTCGCATAGTGTGGATGGCATCGAGTATGGTGAGTGCTTGAACTTGCGCGGCTTTGTGCGTCACGTCCGAATCGTCGGACGACGATGCAAGGTTGGGATTGTGTGTCCGCCATCGCCGCAAGAGTTGCTTGCCGCTGAGTACTGAGCCAAGTTCATGAATGAGTTAACAAGTATATAGGGCAGCTGCAAACCTTCAGCCCATACGCGCTTCGTGTCTGTGACGATGAAGCAGCACGCGTCCTTGTCCTCCGAGGCAACAAATTTCTGGCCAGCATAAGAAGCGCAAACACCAGAATAAGGAGCCACTGACGAACAAGTAAGGCGTCGAGGTTGTCCCGTCGCCCGCCGTCTTGAATGCGGTCAACACGCGCTTTCGTGAACGCGCCTGTGGCAACACACGAACCTTAACCAGCCACTCCTTCCCGGTAAGCTGAAGAGAATGTTCCTAAAACATTGTCTTAGACGGAGCTCGACACACTGCCTCGGCCAAGTCGTACTTCCGTGAAGTCCTCCATCTGGGGAAAGCCGGGGAAAGGAAGGAAAGGCGGAGTCGGACTTTCATATCGCGTCAGCCCGTCTCCTCGACTTTCGACGGCGATTTTGCGAAATTCAACCTGCAACTGGCTGATAGACAAAAATGCTCTGTGCGAGAATCGAACTCGCCTCTAACGCTGTCTAATGACCGGGAATTACCGACGATTCATTTGGGAAGCGTCAATCATAACCACTAGACCAACAGAGCCATGATGCACAGGACGTATTAATGCAATACATTGGCTTTGGGCTCATCCTAGAATCTTTGTTCTGAGTTTTTCGCTTGCTGAGACGGACGCTTGCAGCCGGGATGACGATCGTGAAAGTCAACGGTTCGATCGGCTCCTTCATCCGGTGGGCATGACCGCAGCATTGAATGGCATGGTCGTGTCAAAAACCGCAGTTACGCGGTGTCATGCCTGAGCGCGGAGCAGT